AAAAAAATCAATTGTATAGTCTTTCATTTGGCAGAGACTTAAAATACTTAAGAGGGAGTTTACTAAAGAAGTTGCAGCTGATCTTTGAATATACCTTTACTGGCAAGTTTTGCTAAATTGCATGCTATTATTGGAGCTTATTATGAATGCCATATCTCCCAATTAACAACTGCCTTTCTTCAGTAATGGGGAGTGTATTTTAATACCTAATTCCTTTAGTTAGCCTTAATGGATATCAGACATGGTGGATGCCTGTTGGTTTTTCTCAAACATTAAATATTCTCAATATCATCCAGAACACTTAGTAATATGTATCAGCTAAGGTGTGAGGTAAATACGAAGAAAGTGGAGTCGTCACCTGTTTGCACCGAGCCAGTGAGTCTCTTTTGTGGGCCCTGGAGAGTTTTTCTTGTCTTGTGTGTATGAAGGGTTGGAGTCTTGGGCATATGGTGAAGATTATTTCACAGCCTCCTTTTTCTATTGCTTTTAAAGCAACCCTGGAGGCTTAGTTAATCCCAGTTTCAGTTTCCTGCTCTTAGTACAGTTTTATTATACACTAGAGGCCCAGTTCATGAAATTCGTACATGGGTAGGGTCCCTAGGCCAGCAATCAGGACGATCTGTGGGGCAATCGGCGGGGCGATCGGGTGGCCCCTGCTGGCACCGCCTTGTCTGGCCTGGTGTTGCCCACTCACTGGCCCTGCTCCCCGTCGCCACCTCCACCAGTTGCCTCCCTTTGCAGGGTGACTGGCAGGGCGATCGGAGGGGCTCCTGCTGGCACCCGCCTTGGCTGGCCTGGCGCTGCCTGCTCGCCAGCCCCGCCCCTGCCATCACTGCCAATTGGGGCCTCCGGGCTGCATTGAGCGTCTGCCCCCTGGTGGTCAGTGCATGTCATAGCGACCATTCGTTCTTCTGTTCATTCCACCGGTTGGTCAATTTGCATATTAGGCTTTTATTATATACAATTCTCTGACTCTCTCCTAGGAGAATGAGTAAAGTTTGTCACCCACCTTTGTAAAAGATTTAGTCTGGGTCCCAGCTGCAATTCCAATTGGCCTGGCCTGGATCTTTACCTGAAGAATTAGGATTTTCATACAAATAAAAATCATGATAAAAAAACATTAGTTTTGCCCTAACCGGTTTGGCTCAGCAGATAGAGCGTCGGCCTGCGGACTCAAGGGTCCCAGGTTCGATTCCGGTCAAGGGCATATACCCTGGTTGCGGGCGCATCCCCAGTGGGGGATGTGCAGGAGGCAGCTGATCAATGTTTCTCTCTCATTGATGTTTCTGGCTCTCTATCCCTCCCCCTTCCTCTCTGTAAAAAATCAATAAAATATATTTTTAAAAAAACAAAAAAGCATTAGTTTTAGTATAATAAATGCCATTTAAAACTAAAATCTCCAAATATTGAAAAGCTTACTGAGCTCTGTTCAAGTGACCTCCTTTATTTCACCGATGGTTGCCATGACCCAAGTACTATTACTGTTCAGTGAGAGATTTGGAAGCTTTCATTCAGGTCCATATAGTTAAGAGTGCCCAGCTGTTTGACCTCCTGAACTTAGTTGAAGGTCTTTCCATTTTCTGTGCTTCAGACAAAAGAGTGGACTCTTCCTCCTGGATCCTTTCACTGTTCACCACTGTAGCTGTCTCACAAAACAGTGTCACATTTAACTCCACTCTACCTTTCTATAAGTGCAGTCACCTTTCTCAGATGCCATTGTTTGTGGCCATTTTATTAGATGAATCACTTACACAAGAAATCTGCCCACCTGCATCAGTATTCCAGAGCCAGAGCTTCTATGTAGATGTTGTTCCTTACTCATTCTGCAGGATGATGTATCCATTAAGCAAGCACTCGTGCCATGCCCTGCCCTGCCCTGGCATCATTCTAGACACTGGGCACACAGTGGGCAAAGTGAAATGTGGTCTTTGTCCTCAGGGAACAAATAAATGGTTACTAAGGAGAGAGACCAAGGCAGCAATGTGGCAAGTGGAGGGATCACCCAGACTAATGTGAGGAGAAGTCAAGGTAGATTTGCCCTGTTATGGTTTCTTATTTTATTACTTTCCAGTAGACTGTTGTCACTTTATTGGCTATTTTGTTTTGGGGATTTTAAATACGTTAGTAGTTTCTTCTCATAATTTTAACTTTATCTTTTAGTGCATACAGTGCCCTTATTCATTCTAGGGAACACCTGGTATATGAGAGCCATAAAAATCTAGATTTTAAAGATTTAAAAATTGCTTTTTTCTTAATAGAGCCCTGAAAAAAAAGCAATAACCTTTATGAGCAAATGAACCATTATTTTATATCTTTTTATTCAGCAAATAGTTGAGTGCCAACCCACTTCTTGGCAAAGCCATATTTTAATAGAAGAGGCAGACAAGATTCTGAACCCCCTCCAAACTTCCCTGTGTGTTCACCATTGCACCTGTTTAACAGACAGTGGGGCTGTTACAGACTGCAAAGGAAGCCATAGGAAACTTCTGCTGCTTTAGAGGGAGCATTATGACTCTTGTGTCTCTGGGTTAGGAATCAGGGGGACCAGTGGAGGCTCCACGGAGGAGCTGCTATCTGATGCTGTGACTTTTCTTGATCTGCTCAGAGTTTTACTTTCACTAAAGATAGTTTCCCCTCCCCCTTTCCTTTCCCTTTTCTCTTCTTCTTCCACCTCTGCCCCTCTTTCTCCCCATTCTCCCTTCTAGATACCTCACCCCTGCTGCCTCCCCTGCCCCTCTTCACCCACATAGTCACTGTCTGAAGTGGCCTTGCTTCTTTAGTTTTATTTTTCACTGTTAAAGAGACCACTTTAGTTCCTTCTCAGATGCCTTGTATAACATTGTAAGCCTAATTCAGGCCTCAAAAACACCTAGATTTACCTTGTAATTTTTTTCTCCAAACTATTAGAAGACTTAAGAGCAGAACATAACAGACTTTATCCCTCCCTCTCCTTTTTTGTCCCTTCACCCTCTACCCAGATATTAAAAAAAGAGGAGCTCTCATGGTTTAGGCCTGGCCCCTTCTTTTCTTTCTCTCCCCTTTTCCCCAGGTTACTGGATCCATGCCCACAACTTACTCTGTGTGTCACAGACTCTCAGATTTCTATCTCAGTGCTGTTTCCTTTGTGCTCCAGACCTGCATGTATGCTGCCTAAATGGCATTCTCTGAGACATCTCAGAAAGAAAACATCCACAGTCATCCTTGTAATTATTTTTCACCAACCTCTCCCACCTGGTGTTCCCTGTCTCAGAAGGTGTCACCCATCCAGCTGTGTGACCTGGAAGTCTGGGATCTTCCACAGCAGCCCATCTTCACAGCTGTTGGGGGCACAGGAATCTCTGGAATGTGACTGCCAGTCTCCACTGTCAAACACTGGTCCTCTGTTAGGACTGCTTCGGTCATTTCCTGATGCCTCTTCCCATCAGCTCTACTCCCTTCCAGCCCCTTCTCCCCTCTGTAGCCAGAGGGGTCACTGCCCCCTCCACACTTTGTCTCCAGTGATGAGCACAGAGCCTGGTACTTGCTGCGTGCTCAGTATTTAACAGTGAATAAAGTTCGACAATACCTGTCGTTTATTGTTTTCATCCTGTAGTCTTTTTTGTTGTATAATATTAGTCAACTATGGCATTATCATGTTTTTCCACTTCCACATTCATGTCAGACTTCTCAAAATCACTCAAGAGCTTCCTAAAGTACAGCCTCCTCCCCAGAGTCCTAATGATGTAACAGGTGTGAATTATTTCCCTTTTTTAACTTTTCCCATCCCGTTTATGAGCAATAGTATTATTTAGCAGAAAATAATTTCTATTTTATTTATGTATTTAACATTTTACTCTCTGCACATGCCTTTTTAGAAATTGCATATTTTAAGACTTTACAGAAATTATAAACTATGAATAATTTTAACACTGTAGATTTTATCTGTGTTAGCAAGTTTTTTAAGAAGTATGGATAATTAAATTTGTTCCTTTCTGATGCAGTTCCAATTTATAAATGATAAACTATAGAGAAAAGAATTCCATTGTTCAGAGAAATATAACAGATTTTTGCCAAAGGAAACTTTAAAAGACATTTCTTGTTACCCAACTCAAGTGGTGGGGCTTTGTGGATATTTCTGATGTCTATCCTCAAACTAAATTGTGCCAGTTTATAAATCCTTTTTATTTGGTTTTATTTTCTATCTTCAGCTGAAATTTTTTCATTAAAGATGGGTTTATCAACCCATTTTAATGAAAATATGTGGTTTATCAAACCACAGTGAGATGCTACTTCACACTGAAATAAGCTAGACACAAAAGGAAAAATACTGTATGATTCCACCTACATAAGGTACCTAAAGAAATCAAATTCATGGAGACAAAGTAGAAAAATGGTTAATAGGGGCTGGGACAAGGGAATGCTGTATTGTACAGAGTTTCAATTTGAGAAGATGAAAATGTTCTAGAGGTGGGGATGGATGGTGTTGATCTCACAGCAGTGTGAATGTACTTAATGCCATAGAGCCTTACACTTAAAAATGGTTAAATGGTAAATTTTATACTATGTATATTTTACCACAGTGATACAAAAAGGTTTATCAACACTGCATGTAAATCTACAAAATCCTCAAAAGTTTAATTAAAAAACTACAGATAGAAAACAATAGGTTTATTCTTTCACATTCTTTGCTCTGCTTACTGAAACATTTGTTGTTTTGTTAAATTTGTATTGATATCATAGTTGATAGAGTGAGAAATTTAACCTAAGGCTCCTGGAGTTTGTTCCTGGCTTGGTGTCTTTTAAGACCCAGTACATCCACACAGCCCAATTACAGAATGTGTGCATTACACATTAGACTATTTGAGCTCTTGACTTTTTAAAAATAAATATGATCAGGTAATAAATCCCTGTTTAAAGGCTGGTGAAATGTAATCAGACAATTTTAGAATTTTTTTATGTATGCTAGTATGTGAGAGAAAACAAGTCAAGTTGCTTATCTCTGACATTTTCTTATCTTCCAGGTATACCTTGAAAGACTTTTAACATATGCAGAGATAGATATCTGTCCCGCCAACTGGAAACGAATTGTTCTCGGTGCGATTCTGCTGGCCTCCAAGGTGTGGGATGACCAGGCTGTGTGGAATGTGGATTACTGCCAGATCCTGAAAGACATCACAGTGGAGGACATGTGAGTATGTGTGTATATGTTGGAGGGGAGAGCAGTGGAACTGCTTGGGAAGGAGATTGTGTCCCTTTTGAATGTCTTTACAGTGTAGAATGAATGAATTTGACTGAAAGTCTTTTGGGAGCTGATGATATACAGTGAAGGCACGGTTGTGGAATATTATATGTAAAAACCTGTATTTCTTTTCACTGTGGATCATGAATAGGTACTGGCAAAGCTTTTCTTTACTTTCTTTAGAAAGGTGTAGAACAGTGCCTTCTGCAGTCTGGCAGTTTACATTTGAGTTGTATCCCACTGCAGACTGATAACACAGAGTTAATGTCCTGCACCATTCTTTTGTGGGCCACAGAAAGAGCAAAAGAATTAAAATATTGTTTCCTTTTTTTTAATATTGATTTCAGAGAGGAAGGGAGAGGGAGGGAGAAAGATATAGAAACATCAATGATGAGAGAGAATCATTGATCAGCTACCTCAGGCACGCCCCACGCTGGGGATTGAGTCCCCAACCTGGGCATGTACCCTGACCAGGAATCTAACTGTGACCTCCTGGTTCATAGGTTGATGCTCAACCACTGAGCCTAGCCAGCCAGGCTCTTTTTAGTTGCAGAGTGAAAACTTTCACTGCTTTGTCATTCGTATAGGTTCAGTTGTTTAAAAAGGGCATTCTGTCCCTGACGCCTGTCATGCATCTTGTTAAGATGGCATGTTCTCCCCAGCTGGGCTCAAGTGCCCACAGCTGAGTGGAAATACCATAAATCCTGCGGGGGAGGGCACCCCAGGGCTCTTAGGACAGCCTTAAGATTTCTCTTATGGCCGAAACCGGTTTGGCTCAGTGGATAGAGCGTCGGCCTGCGGACTGAAAGGTCCCAGGTTCGATTCCGGTCAAGGGCATGTACCTGGGTTGCGGGCACATCCCCAGTAGGGGATGTGCAGGAGGCAGCTGATCGATGTTTCTCTCTCATCGATGTTTCTAACTCTCTATCTCTCTCCCTTCCTCTCTGTAAAAAATCAATAAAAATATATTTAAAAAAAAAAAAAAAGATTTCTCTTATGGTTCAATCCTCAGATTTAGGTAAGGACTGTTAGCAGGAGACCTGTAGGTCTATTCCCTGGGATATCTGGGGTCTGGATTCAGAGCCTTTTAGGAGGAAGGAGCTGTTTTGGAAAACAATCAGGATGAACTACTTACAGTTGCTTGTGGTTTATAGTAACTTTTGACACTGCTCATGCTAAAATTTTTCTCACATTATTTGTTTGGCTTTCTTGAGGAAGCTTTAGGCTGGAGGAGGTTCCCAGCTGTGTCCTAATCCACAGCCATTTCCCTGAACCAAATAATCCTGGGGTTGCAGGATCTTCACGGTGCCTATTACTACTACTTTGTGGGGTATCACATGGATTTCTCTCCAGGTTGGGGTACCCGTGCCTTATTTACTGACTTTCTGGGCACCCCGTTTTATGGCTCTTGTGAAGCATACTTGTTGATGTTCTTTGGGTCTTTTGTTGCAGAGCTCATTCCTGCTGCTGACCTATGAAACTCCTTCCTGTGTCTGTAACTCTCTATTATAAAAACTAAGAAAAGTATAAAGAAGTCTTTGATAGTAATAAAAATAAAATTCTTGATTATATTTCAAATGGAAACAGCTACAAAAATAATTGTCATTCAGACCATAAAGGAGAAGGACATTTGGGTGCAAGGTTTAAGAAATGCTGACTTTATTGGTTGGTGGTTCTCTCAACTGCCAGACCAGACACCATGTGACACTGTATGGCACACCACAGGGATCATGATCATCAAGGTTGTCTCTTCTCCTTTGTATAAAGTGGATAATGTACAACCAATAACTTGGTGTGGGTGGCCGTACTGAGGTTCTACAAGAGCAGGTAGAAAGGGTTTCCCCACCACGAGGAGTTGTATCTATTAAAGTCAAAGAGGAAAATACCTCCTGAAGTCAATGTAGGTCTCAAATCTTTTCATCATTTATATCCTGTTTCTGTAAGGAAATTAGATACAAATGCAAATTACAAATACTACAGAAGCGTTAAAATAACAGAGAGCAGAGAAAAATGAAGAGTGAAGAGTCTTAGGGGTTGGGAGGAGATTCTTTTAACATGAGAGCTAAGAGAACACACTGATGTAAGTACATGAATTTCCAAGACTTATTGTATTAGTGTCATCCCAGTGAGTCTTTAAATGCTTTTAAAATTATATGTTAAAATCACATAGTCATCTATCAGTAAAAATTACTTAAATGAGCCTTCCAATTCCTTCAGTTTGGTAAAAGCAGAAATTGTAAACCACCTAAGATATTAGCCTGTCATTAGAGTTACTTACTTTTTTAAAACCAAAAATTGGAATAAGTCCCTTTACTTGCCTTCTCAGAGGTTCTTCACCTTGGAACAACAAACTTGGTAAGGGTAGGTGACTCGTCTTCCTTCCCCTCCCAGAGTGGGAGAAGAGTAACAAGGAAAGAGAACCTGTACACTTGGTGTATCCTTGGGCAAGTCAGTTTTAAGAGAGAGAAATGAAAGTTAGTGATCTAGGAATCTGTTCCCTAATGCTGTTGGGTTCCTAGGCTTGCTTAGAGAAAGCCTGTGTGTGCGCTAACGGAAAGCATATTCCAGCATGAAGACCAATGTTCCTTTGAGCCTTCTAACACAGCAGTCGCCAACCTTTCGGACCTCACGGACCACCAGTGGACCACAGACCACCTATGGCATTTTGTTATGGCAGCCCAGAGACTAACATAGATTTTGGTACTGGGAAGGGGAGTGCTGCTGTAATAAATACCTAAAGATGCGGAAGCAGCTTTTGAACAGGGTAGTGGGAGAAGAGTTTGAGGCTCATATTGGAAAAACCCTAGATTGCCTGAAAGAGATGATAAGTAGAAATAGTGTTAAAGGCAATTCTGGTGAGGACCCAGCAAGAAAAGAGTGGAATTGTAGAGAAGACTTCTGTAATCTTGGAGTTTACATAAGCAGAATGTCATTAGAAACATGAATATTAAAGCTACTTGTGAAATGAGATCTTAGAGATGGGGAACATGCTATTGGACATTGGAGGATAGGTGATCCTTGCTGTAAAGTGGCAAAGAAGGTGGCCAAATTGAGTTTTAATGTTTTGTGGAAAGTAGAGTATTTATTTATTATATTTTTATTGATTTCAGAGAGAAAGGGGGAGAGAGATAGAAACATCAATCATGAGAGGGAATCATTGGCCGGCCGCCTCTTGCACACCTCCTACTGGGGATTGAGCCCACAGCCTGGGCATGTGCCCTGACCTGGAATCAAACATGACCGCCTGGTTCATAGGTTGATGTGCAACCACTGAGCCATGCAGGCTGGGCATTTTTTTTTTTAATATATTTTTTTCAATTACAGTTGACATACAGTATTAGTTTTAGGTGTACAACATATTGATTAGACATTTGTATAACTTATGAAAAGATCACTCCAATAAGTCTAGTACCCATTTGGCACAATACATAGTTATTACAATATTATCTATATATATAAAAGCCAAGCGACCAGAATGACCGGTCGCTATGATGCACACTGGCCGGCCAACCTCCTTTGGCCCCTCCCCCTCGGCCCCGGGGGCTGGCTGGCCGGACCCCACCCATGCACGAATTCGTGCATCAGGCCTCTAGTTGACTATATTCCCTATGCTGTATTTTACATCCTCATGACTGTTTTTATTATTGGAAATTTGTACTACTTAATTTTTCACCCAACTCCTCAACCCCCTTCCATTTGGCAACCATCAATTTGTTTTTGTATCTATGAGCTTGTTTCTGTTTTGGTTAATTTATTTTGATTTTTAGATTGCACATACAAGTGAAACCATATGATATTAGTCTTTCTCTGGTTCACTTATTTAACTTTGCATAAAAAGCTCTATGTCCATCCATTGCAAATGGTAGGATTTCTTTTTATCGCCGAGTAATATTCCATTGTGTATATGTACTACATCTTCTTTTCCATTCTTCTACCGATGGACATTTAGGTAGCTTCCTTATCTTGGCTATTGTAAACAGTGCATTAGTGAACATATGGATGCATATATATTTTCAAATACATTTTTTTCGTTTCTTTGGATAAATACCCAGAACTGGAATTTCTGGGTCTTTCTGTGTCTTGTTACAGCCTTTGTTTTAAAATCTACATCTGTTGTACGTATTGCTCCTTCAGCTTTTTTCAGATTTCTATTTGCATAAAATACCTTTTCCTTCTCTTTACTTTTAGTCTGTGTATCTTCAATTTGAAGTGAATCTATTATAGATAAAATATATATAGGTATTGCTTTCTTATCTATTCAGCCAACCTGTATCTTTTGATATGAGCATTTAATCCATTAACATGTAAAAACTATTGATAGGTATGCAGTGATTGCCATTTTATTATTTATATTTTTGATCTTTTCTTCTTCCTAAAGAAGTCCCTTTAACATTCCTTGTTTGTTTGTTTGCTCAAATATATTTTTATTGATTTCAGACAGGAAGGGCGAATGAATCACTGATTGGCTGCCTCTTGCATGCCCTCCACTGGGTATCAAGCCCACAACCCAGGCATGATCCCTGACCAGGAATCAAACCGTGACCTTCTGGTTCATAGGTTGATGCTCAACCACTGAGCCACGCCTGCCGGGCCCTTTAACATCTCTAATAATAAAAGCATAATATGCTAATTAGACCAGACGTCCTTCCAGTCGACCTGCCGGATGAAGCTGGGGCTGCAAGGGAAACCCGGGCCCTGGGTGCCTGCCGGTGATTAGAGCTTGGAAGCCTGGGTTCCAGGTGCCTGCCAGCAGCCTGAGGGAAGACCAGGTCCCGGGTGCCAGAGGGACGCCAGTGCTGGCAGGTGGGGGAAGGAAGGCCTACTCTTGTACGAATTTCGTGCATCGGGCCTCTAGTGTCTTATAATACTGACTTGATAGGAATGAACTCCTTTGCTTTTTCTTGTCTGGGTAGAGTATTCTTGGTTGTAGGTCCTTGTTTTTCATCTCT